ACTCTCCCAGCCTGGCTCCAGAGCTGCTCCAGCCCTCCCAGCATCTCCGGGGCCTCCTCTGGCCTCTCTCCAACAGCTCCGTGTCCTCCCTGTGCTGGGGGCTCCAGAACTGGCCCCAGTTCTCCAGGGGGTCCCAGCAGAGCAGAGGGGACAATCCCCTCCCTGACCTTCTGGCCATGCTGATGGTTCAGCTCAAGACCCCTGGTTTTGCTCATCCATGTGAAATCTCCTCTTCCCAGTGTCTCTCCTCAGTCCTGGGGGTGTCTCTGTGTCAATAAGAGCCTGGGCCAGGGAAGCTGTGGCTGCCCCATCCCTGGGGGTGTTGAAGGGCAGGTTGGCTGGGGCTGGAGCAGCCTGGGCTGGTGGGAGGTGTCCCTGCCCATGCAGGGGGTGGGACTGGATGGTCTTTAAGGTCCCTCCAACCCAACCCATTCCATGATTCTGTTGTCACACCGTGTGGTCATGCAAGACCTACAATCATAGAATTCAGCTCCTGGGATGGTTTGAGTTGGAAGGACCTTCAAGCCCACCCAGATGATCCCACCAGATGATCTTTAAGGTGCTGCCCCATCCCTGGAGTGTTCCAGGTGTCTAATGTGGGGCTTGGAGCAGCCTGGGCTGGTGGGAGGTGTCCCTGCCCATGCAGGGGGTGGGACTGGAAGATCTCTAAGGTTCCTCCACCCCATCCCATGGTTCCATGAAACCCTCTCCTCTCTCTCCCTGCAGACTGTTCGGGAGGAGGAGCGAGAGATCTACAGGCAGCTGCTCCAGATGGTGACAGGAAAACAGTTTTCCACCTCCAAACCCTCTTCCCTCTTCCCCTTCCATCTGTGAGTGTGGAAAATCCCCTTTTCCCAGTAGGCAGCACCTCCTGGTTGTGCTGGGAACTGAGTTTCTTCTCCTTTTCCTCCTCCTTCCCAGCTCCAGATGTTCCAATTCCAGCAAATCCCTGGTGAAAGAAGCTCCCAGCAAGAATTCCAAGCTCTTTGAAGCTCCCAGTGTCCCACCAGCCCCTTCAGCCACCAGCATCCTCCCAGCACCTGAGCAGCCACTACACAAACTCCCCCTCTACTCTCCTCCCAGTTACCCCCCCAGTACCTTCCAGTCCAGCAACTCCACAGCCCAGCACCAGCAGGAAAACACACCAGCCTCTTCCACACACTCTGAAGGTAAAAACAACCCCAAATCAAGCCCCCAAAACTTGGAATTTGACCTTAAAACATTTGTTCCCCCCCCCTCCAGGTTTTCCATCCCCCCATGTCTGGGCCCCTGCACCAGTTGGGGAACTGGATGGGAATGGTGAGATGATCAGTATCCCCTGATTTTTGTCCCTTTTTTAGGGTCTGATTCTGTCATTTTGCTGAAGGTGAAGGATTCCAGAACCCCAGCACCAAGGTGGGAGGCTGGGAAATGGGGTGGAGAGGGTGGTGGGTTCCAGGAGCTTCTGGATTTCCAGGGAGAGGGAAGGAGGCAGAGCAGGTGCCTGGTGGCTTTGGGTGTCCCAGGAGGAGGGAACAGTTGAGTGAAGAGCCTGGGCCAGGGAAGCTGTGGCTGCCCCAGCCCTGGGGGTGTTGAAGGGCAGGTTGGCTGGGGCTGGAGCAGCCTGGGCTGGTGGGAGGTGTCCCTGCCCATGCAGGGGGTGGGATCTGGATGGTCTTTGAGGTCCCTCCAACCCCAACCATTCCAAGACTCCATGGGTGTGATGCCTCAGACCTCTTTCTTGAGCCCAGGCTGCACATCCCTGGGTTACCTGGAGCTCCAGCACTAGAATTGTCCTCAGCTCATGGTTCAGAAACCACTTTGCAGCCAATCACTCAGGTCCCACCTGAGGTGACCCCTCCCATCTCTCCTTTTCCAGCCTCCCCTTCTTCCAGGCAGAGCTGTGGATCAAAGAGCTGTAAGTACATGGGTTCCTCCTTGCTTCCCCTCCCATGATTGCTGATGGAGAGATGAAAACCCCTTGGTTTTCACCCCAAAATGTGGTCTCCATCCAGGACCAGCGTCTACGACTCCCGCGCCCGCGAGCGGTGGCGGCAGATCGAGGAGCAGAAGGCCCTGGCCCAGCAGCTGCAGAGCCAGGTAATGAGGAGCAGCTTCTAAAGAGGCTTTTGCCAAGGAGATAGGAATCCTGGATGGGGGAGGAGAAACTTCAGGGCAGCCCTGTGGGAAAGGACCTGAGAGGAAGGGTGGGCTAAACGTTGGAGTTGAGCCACCAACTGCAGCCCAGAGGGGCAACCTCATCTTGGGTTGTGTCCAAAGAGGCTTGGCCAGCAGATGGAGGGAGGTGATTCTGCCCTGGGAAGGTCCCACCTGGGGTGATGTATCCAGTTCTGGAGCCCCCAGCACAGGGAGGACACGGAGCTGTTGGAGAGAGGCCAGAGGAGGCCCCGGAGATGCTGGGAGGGCTGGAGCAGCTCTGGAGCCAGGCTGGGAGAGGTGGGGTGTTCAGCCTGGAGAGGAGAAGCTCCAGGGAGACCTGATAGCAGCTTTCAGTGCCTGAAGGGGCTCCAGGAAAGCTGGGGAGGGACTTGGGCCAAGGGCAGGAGGGATGGGCTGAGGGGGAAGGGCTTGACACTGGCAGTGGGGAGCTGGAGGTTGGAGCTGAGGAGGAACTTGTTGGCTGGGAGGGTGGGGAGAGCCTGGGCCAGGGAAGCTGTGGCTGCCCCATCCCTGGGGGGGTTGAAGGGCAGGTTGGCTGGGGCTGGAGCAGCCTGGGCTGGTGGGAGGTGGCCCTGCCCATGCAGGGGGTGGGACTGGATGGTCTTCAAGGTCCCTCCAACCCTTCTGTGATTCTATGAGTGGAATGTTAGAGTAGAAACTAAACTGGAAAGGAAAAACTGCCACAACTGACTCATTTGGTGGCTTCATGGCTTCTCCTTCCCATGGCAGAGCCCTTGGTGGGGTCATGGCCAGGGGCATGTGCTCCTCTTGGTGTCTCCTACAGCAATTTGCCCCACGTTGGTCCCCTCCCAGCCCCGGGGAGGTGCCCCCAGGGTAGGAGCTGAGGGCAGGTCTCTCCTCCAGAGGCTGCAGGAGCAGGAACATTCAGTGCAGGATCCGGTGGCTTTAAACCTCCGGGTGCCCCTGGAGAGGGAGATCCCAGTGACGGTGGTTCCTGAGAAGAAGGAGGAGCCCAGCTCGGGGGAGGGGGAGGAGGAGTTCCCGGAGATCACCGAGGTGAGGCAGGAGCAGGGGCTGCAGGGCAGGGCAGGCTCTGCACACCAGCCTGGGGCTCCTTCCTGGGCCTGGGGGGGCTCCTGCTGCTTCCCCCCCACCTCCCCAGGGGGCTTTTCAGTTCCCCCTTCCCAGGCCTGGGGGGCTTTTTCTCCCCCCTCCCCTTTCCTGGGCCTGGGGGCTTTTTTTCATTTCCCCCCCCCTTCCCAGGACTGGGGGCTTTCCCTCCCCACTTCTTTGGCTTGGGGGGCTTTTTCATTTCCCCCCTCAGACACTTCCCAGGCCTGGGGGGGCTTTTTCTTCCCTCCCTACCCCTTTCCTAGGCCTGGGGGGGGGGGAATTTTCCCCCTTTACCCCCTTTCCCAGGGCTGGGAGGGGGGGCTTTTTCCCTCCACAGCCCAGAGGGCTTTTTTATTCCCCCCCCAACCTTCCTGAGCCTGGGGGGGATTTTTCTTCCCCCCTCTGCCCCCTTTTCCCAGGCCTGGGGGGGCTCCCTCCCCTTTGCCAGACTTTCCAAAATCCCTGGTCCCTTCCCAGTGCTCCTTGGGGTCTCCCTTCCCAGTGCTTCCCCTGGGGGGTCTCCCTTCCCAGTGCTTCCCCTGGGGGTTCTCCCTTCCCAGTGCTTCCCCTGGGGGGTCTCCCTTCCCAGTGCTTCCCCTGGGGGGGTCCCTTCCCAGTGCTTCCCCCTGGGGGGTCTCCCTTCCCAGTGCTTCCAATGGGGGGGTCCCTTCCCAGTGCTTCCAATGGGGGGGTCCCTTCCCAGTGCTTCCAATGGGGGGGTCCCTTCCCAGTGCTTCCAATGGGGGGGTCCCTTCCCAGTGCTTCCAATGGGGGGGTCCCTTCCCAGTGCTTCCAATGGGGGGGTCCCTTCCCAGTGCTTCCAATGGGGGGGTCCCTTCCCAGTGCTTCCAATGGGGGGGTCCCTTCCCAGTGCTTCCAATGGGGGGGTCCCTTCCCAGTGCTTCCAATGGGGGGGTCCCTTCCCAGTGCTTCCAATGGGGGGGTCCCTTCCCAGTGCTCCCAATGGGGGGTCCCTTCCCAGTGCTTCCCCTGGGGGGGTCCCTTCCCAGTGCTCCCAAGGGGGGGTCCCTTCCCAGTGCTTCCAATGGGGGGTCCCTTCCCAGTGCTCCATGGTCCTTCCTGCAGGAAATGGAGAAGGAAATCAAGAGTGTGTTCCGAGGAGGGAACCAGGACGAGGTTCTCAGCGAAGCTTTTCGCTTGACGATCACCAGGAAGGACATTCAGACCCTCAACAACCTCAACTGGCTCAACGATGAGGTGAGGGCTCTGCTTGGGGCCCTGGAGGGGGTTTCTGGGTTGATTTCTGGTGGGTTGGAACTGGATAAACTGGGTGGAAAAGCAAGAGTGAAGAGTAGGTGTGAGCTGGGTCATAGGATCATGGGATGGGTTGGGTTGGAGGGACCTTGAAGACCATTTAGATCCCACCCCCTGCATGGGCAGGGACACCTCCCACCAGCCCAGGCTGCTCCAGCCCCAGCCAACCTGCCCTTCAACACCCCCAGGGATGGGGCAGCCACAGCTTCCCTGGACAACCTGTCCCAGGGTCTCCCCACCTCCCTCTGGAGCAGGTGAGAAGCCCCAGACTGGACCAGACACTTCAAGAAACTCTTAATACTGGGAGGAGTGGGAGTGACTGGACACAATCAGGACCAGAAACCCCAAATCTTATCTTGGGAATCCCAGAACTCTCTGGATTTTGGGATGTTTTAAGGCTGAGCTGTTGCAGTTCCCCCTGGGGACAGATCTCCAGGGGGACATGTGGAGCCAAATCCAGTTGCTTCCCCACCTTTGCCTTGGAGCAGAGCAGGAGGTCATCTCCTAACATGTCCAGTGTGTCTTTTTCCTGCCTAGATCATTAACTTCTACATGAACCTGCTGATGGAGAGGAGCAAGGAGAAGGGCCTCCCAGCTGTCCACGCCTTCAATACTTTCTTCTTCACCAAATTAAAAACAGCAGGATACCAGGCTGTGAAAAGGTGGACCAAAAAAGTGGACATCTTCTCTGTGGACCTCCTGCTGGTGCCCATCCACTTGGGAGTGCATTGGTGCCTGGCAGTGAGTGTTGGAGTTCATGGGATCATGGGCTGGCTTGGGTTTGGAGGGACCTTCAAGATCATCTAGATCCAACCCTTGTGTGGGCAGGGACCCCCTCTTGGGCTGTGGAGCCACCTGAAAGGTGGCCCTTGGGAGGGTTGGGGTGGAAATGGGGCCCTGAAAAGCCCTCCTGGGTTGGTGGGATCACTGGGTGATCACAGGGTGGGTGGAACCTCCCCCTGGCACTGGTGAGGTTGGACCTGCAATCCTGGGGTCAAGATTTGGGGCAGAAAAGGGACATTGAGGGGCTGGAGTGTGTCCAGAGAAGGGAAATGGAGCTGGGGAAGGGGCTGGAGAAGTTGTGAGGAGCAGCTGGGGGAGCTGAGGGTGTCCAGCCTGGAGCAAAGGAGGCTGAGGGGAGACCTTCTGGCTCTGCAACTAGAAGGGAGCTCTGGAGCCCCCCCAGTGCCACCCCCAGCAGGTCCCCCAGGATCCAGCTGGGGCTGGGATGGCTCCAGAGAAGGAGAATCCACCACCTCTCTGGGCAGCCTGGCCCAGGGCTCTGCCACCCTCACAGCAACAGGTTCCTGCTCATGCTCAGCTGGAACCTCCCGTGCTCCAGGTTGTCCCATTGCCCCTTGTCCCTGGGCACTGCTGAGAAGAGCCTGGTCCCACCCTCCTGACCCCCTGGAGGTCCCGAGGAGACCCCCCCTCATTCTGCTCCTCTGCAGCTGAACTGCCCCAGGTCCCTCAGCCTTTCCTCACCACAGGGATGTTCTCACCCCCTCCCCATCTCCCTGGCTCTTTGCTGTCCCCTCCCCAGCAGCTCCTTGTGCTCCAGGTTGTGCCTGTGACCTCTTGTCCTGTCATCATCATCATCAGAGAGCCATGAGGTTTGGGTTGGAGGGTTCTCAAAGCTCATCCAGATCCCACCCCTACATGGGCAGGGACACCTCCCACCAGCCCAGGCTGCTCCAGCCCCAGCCAACCTGCCCTTCAACACCCCCAGGGATGGGGCAGCCACAGCTTCCCTGGCCCAGGCTCTCCCCACCCTCCCAGCCAACAAGTTCCTCCTCAGCTCCAACCTCCAGCTCCCCACTGCCAGTTCAATCCATTGCCCCTTCTCCTTGGACACTGCTGAGAAGCTGATCCCACCCTCACCCCCTGGAGATCTTAAGGAGCAGAGTGTCCTGGCAATGTGATGAGTTTAATTAACCAGGGCTGGGGTTAATTAGCACAGTGCTGGGTTTAATGACTCAATCTCTCTTGGTGCAGGTCGTGGACTTCAGGAAAAAAACCATCACCTATTATGACTCCATGGGTGGGATCAACAGTGAAGCCTGCAGGGTCCTGCTGTGAGTAACACTGAGTTCATCCTCTGTAGAACATCTCAGCTTCTTCTGGCCCCCTGGAACAGCTTCTCCCTGGGGAATGGTCCCTTTTTGGGACCTGGAAGGAGGATTTGGAGGAATGTCCTTTTTTTTCCTGCTTGATTTTTGGCCAGAGTTGGGCTGGGAGAACATCCTGTGTCCCTGCCTGGGCTGCACCTCTTCCCAGAAGATCCCTCAGTGTCACCTTCCTGGTTCCAGACCCTTTCTAGGAAAGACATTGGGCTTCACCAGCCTTAGAGTCACCAACTTTGGCATCAACTTTGGGAGGGAAATGACTTTTTTGGACATGAGGTGTGTCCCTTGTCCTGCAGCTGCTTGAAGAGATGGTGTCTCCTGGGCCCCTTCCTCCAGGTGGGACCTTTTCCCTGCCTGGGGCAAAACTCAGCCCTTTGTTCCAAGGAGGAGATTCCAGAGGGCACAACATCACCCAGAGGATGTGGGATCTTGCTCCAGGCCATGGGTGGAGGTTTGCACAGGTCTCTTTTTCTCCTGAGCTCCAGCAGGGCCTTGCACCCCGTGTCTCCAAACCCCCCAGCAGATCTTCCTGGTCTTCATTTCCACCCTCCCTGAGCTCCAGGAAGGAGTGAAACCAGCTCTTGTAGAACAGAGGTGCTTCCATCCTAAATCCAAACCTTCTTTCCCATATTTGGAAGCTGCTCCTGAGTGGATTGTGATTGAAAAAAAGCCACAACCCAACAAGCTCCTTTGAGCAGGGGGTGGAGGAAAAAAATTCAACCCATTTTTGAAGGTCCCTGGTCAGGAAAGCCCCTCAGGCCTGACACAAATCAGGCTGTGAAGTGATTCCTCAAGCACAACCTGTCACCCCCAGGGTGACCCTGGGTCAGCAGTGGCTTCTGGTTCTCATCTCAGCTTTCCTTGGGAATTGGGAACCTGATCCTGAGCCTCCTGGCACCAAGTTGAGTGTGTCAGGGGAGGTGTCACTCAGGCAGTCCAGGAATGTGGAGGCAGGATGAGGCCAAGCAGCAGGGAAATACCATTTCCAGCCCATTTAGCACCTTTGTTTTCCAGTTCAGGTGTTGTCCCAGTTTTCCCTGGGTTGATTTCAATCACTGGGAAAGAAAAAGCTGCTTTTCCTTTTCCACAAGGTTCTGTCCTGTGGGTTTCAAGGCAGGAAAAGGGGAAGGAAAAAGGGTCAAATAGCTCAGGGAAGTGTCTTGGTGTCACCTTCTGGCTTGTGTCTCTGAGGACAGAGCCAGCAGGGCTGGGCTGGGTGCAGCCAGTTCCTTGTCAGCCTGAATTTCTGTGATTCCAAGGCCAAAAAAAAAAAGGCATTTTGGTGGAACTGAAGCACCTGGGAGGTTAGAGGGGAACCTTGGAAGCCTGGGCTGTTCTTTGTAGGGCTGAGGGTTGAGGCAGAAGGTCCCCAAAGTGGTGGCAGGGAGCAGCAGAGGTGGCCAGGCAGTGGTAGAGGCAGGATTTCAGGTGGCTGCTGTCCTGGAGGTAATTGTTTTCCCTCTGTTTCCTTTTAGGAGGCTTTTATTGGTTGAATGAAGTGGGGAAGATCCCACCAGGAAGAGGGGACCGAGGTCCTGGTCATGGTTAGTGACCCTTTCATGCTTTCAATCTTTTAAAGCTTCCTAAAAGTGGTGAGTGCCCTCCCATGAGGGAAACTGAGGCACAGGGCAAGGAAATGATGAAGGAGCAGGACCTCTGGCTGGGTTAGGAGTGAGGAGGGACCAGGGATGTCCACCTTCTGGTGGCTCCTGAGCTTTGGGGCAGCATCTGGGCTTCCCCATCCTGTGGGTGTGAGACCTGGAGTGGATTTGGTGAGATGACTTTAAAGGGTTTTCTCCTTGGGGGGGGGTGGAAAAAGGAGCCCTGCTGGAATCTTCTCTTCTGGAACAGGCACAAACCAACCTGTTCAGAGCTGAGTGAAAAGGACTTGGATCAGTGTCCCAGAGGAAAATCTCAGGGGACAGAGCAGACAAAGCCCCTGCTGCCTGGGAAATCTTATCTCCTGCCAGCAGAGCTGGGCTGGAGACACTTCCCTTTGATGGGCCCTTCAGGGTTTGCAGACACTGAGCAGTTGATCTCAACAATTCCCTGAGGGACCTGGGCAGCTTTTTGTGTGTGTAGAGGGTCAAAAAAACCTCACCCCAACCACCCACTTTTTAGGTGAAGAAAAACCCAAGATTAGAACCTGCAGAGTCTGACAGGGCAGGTTTGGGGGTTGGTGTTTGGTTCTGCTTCAGAGTTTGGTTTCAGGGGTTTTTCTCCTGGAGGTCTTGACAAAATTCAGTCCTTAAGTTTTGCTTCTTGATGTTGACTCATGATTTTGAAGGTATTTTCTTTCTTTCTGCTCTGGAGCCAGGCTGGGAGAGTTGGGGTGTCCAGCCTGGAGAGGAGAAGCTCCAGGGAGACCTTAGAGCAGCTTCCAGTGCCTGAAGGGGCTCCAGGAAAGCTGGGGAGGGACTTGGGCCAAGGGCAGGAGGGATGGGCTGAGGGGAAAGGGCTTGAAACTGGCAGTGGGGAGCTGGAGGTTGGAGCTGAGGAGGAACTTGTTGGCTGGGAGGGTGGGGAGAGCCTGGGCCAGGGAAGCTGTGGCTGCCCCATCCCTGGGGGTGTTGAAGGGCAGGTTGGCTGGGGCTGGAGCAGCCTGGGCTGGTGGGAGGTGTCCCTGCCCATGCAGGGGGTGGGATCTGGATGGTCTTCAAGGTCCCCTCCAACCCATCCCATGGTTCTGTGAGTCTGTTGATGACCAGGAGTAGAAGGTGTCTGAATGTCCCTTCCTGGTGCTGGCAGTCAACCTAGAGGAGCTTTTTAGGGCCATTGAAAACATCTTGGGCTCATCACCTCTATCTTCCTGAGCTCCCCTTTCCCTGCTTCCCAGTGAAGGGAATGGTTTGAGTTGTTTCTCTCCAGAAAGGAAAGGACTGGTGGTTCTTGGGGTGTCCTCTGGCCATGGTCTTGATGGAGTTTCTAAACTTCAAGGAAGCAGGAAAGAAAAAAGGCCCCAAACTTTTCAGTACTTCCAGTGGCATAGAGGTCAGACTGGGGAGGAGATGGGGCCCAGTTCCCCATGAGCTTTCTGAGTGCCCCACTGCTGGGAACTGGAATGTGACTGTCCCTGTGGATCTTCTCCCTCTGCTTGAAGGCCTGAGGAAGGTGTTTGATGTCTCACCCACCTCATGGGTGGCTCCTTCTGCTCCTCACTGGCTTCAATCCCTGAAAACCACCTCGGAGAGGACTTTGGGTGGCTTTTCCCAGGGATATCCCCCCTCCCTCCCAAAACCTTGGACCTCATTTAAGAAAATCAGGATCTCTCCTGGGAAGCTCTTGTCATCTGCTGTGGTCAGAAGAAAAGAAATTGCAAAGAGAAGGGAAACCTGGGAGAAGAGCTCCAGGAGAACATCAACCAGCAGGCTTAGCCCACCACCAGTCTGGAGAGAGATTCCTGCT